CTCGACTAGACAGCAACAGCTTCTTCACACGACGGAAAGCGTCCTTCTGTGAGTGTCCCCACTTCCAGGCAGTGGTCTGCCGCAGTAGCTTGTACAGCTGGTGCAACGTGGTAGCTAGATTGGGCAGGAACTTCCCATAATAATTAACCATACCCAGAAATGATCGAAGTTCGGACAGATTCTTCGGGTTGGGCGCATCGACGACGGCTTGGACTTTGGACTCGGCGGTGCGAAGACCTTCAGCACTGATGACGTGGCCCAAATACGACACTGACGACAGAAGAAAACGCACACTTGGAACTTTTCAGACGCATCCCTGCAGACGCTGCAAGACCTGAACCAGATTCGCGAGGTGCTCTGTTCAGTGGCTTCTGTCACCAGGATGTCGTCCAGGTATACACAGACTCGAGGGATTCCCTGGAGGAGATTCTCCATCAACCCTCTGGAAAATGGATGGTGCCGACGCGATCCCAAACGGGAGTCTTGTATACCTGAACAACCCCTTATGCGTGTTGATCGTGACGTACTGCTGAGACTGTTCGTCCAACGGAACCTGCAAATAGGCGTGCGAGAGTCGAGTTTCGAAAATGTCTTGCCTCCAGAGAGTGAGGCGAAGAGCTCTTCAATGCGGGGAATGGGATACCTCTCGAGTTTGGCGGCTCTGTTGATCGTTATCTTGTAGTCACCGCATATCCGCACTCCTCCATCGCTCTTCCTGACGAGGAACTATGGGGTGGCCCAGTCAGAGAACTGCACAGGTTGCAAAATTCCCAGGGCCTGTAAACGCTCCAACTCTCTCTCGACTTTTTCACGTATTGCGAACGGCACTTGGCGAGGTTTCTCGAATCGCGGACGAGTTGTTTGCCATCGACGTGGATTTTCGCTGTCGTTCCCTGGAGTTTTCCCAACTCTTCTCTGAAGACTTCTGTGTGTTGTGACAGCACTTGCTGTAGCGACAGATACACGTCCAATGTTGAAAATAGTTCGCCAGTCAAGTCGAAGGGCTCCGAGCCAGTTGCGTCAGAGCAACGTTGGTCCACTACCTTCTGTGATGACCAGAGGTAGGGCCTGGGTCTGACCGTTGTGCATCACCTTGACTACGGTTGATCCGCACACTTGATCGACTCTCCGTATACGTCTGTAGACGGACAGTCGGTTCCCTCGGCTCAAGGTGTGACTCCCCCTCACGAATCAGTTCGAATGTTTCTCGACTTGCGATGGATACGGAAGCGCCGGTGTCGATCTCCATTGAAATCGGTCGTCCGTTTGAATTGACAGTCGCATACAAAGGTGCAGTCTGACCTGACGTGACATGGAAGATGAGGTATTCTCCGGAGTCTTGCAGTGGTGTCTCCTTCTCATCAACGTGATGTGTCTTCCCTTCACTACCACACACCCTACCCTTCTGCCTGCCATACGGGCAATGTGGCCTATTTTTTTGCAGTAATGCATTCAGCATTCTTGAAAGGGCAGTGGGCAGGACTGTGCTTTCCTCCACACCTGGAGCACTCCTCTTTCTCAGGCCACCAGCGCCCTGGTGTCTCTCCCTGCCTTTGTATTGCGGTTTGATTGTCGAGGGCGGTTGCTCCTAGTACACAGCTGGCACATTGTGAACAGGAGGTCCTTAGTCTTCCCTATCGGGGTGGGCAGATCCGTATCACTTGTGGTCCGCATCAGGCGACGTGAGTCTTTGTCTGCAGCCTCAGCTGCCAAGGCTGCCTCGAGAGCCTTGTCGAAGTGTAAGATCCACTTGTTGCAGGAGACGACGCTGGACAGTTCTATCGAAGATGCCGCACACGAGCGGTGCGTAACATGTCGTTGAGTACGGCTCCATATTCGCAGTATTCAGCTATCTTTCGAGTTCCGCGACGTATGTAGATATCGTTTCGTTATCCCCTTGGCGCCTCGTATTGAATTCGTATCTTTTTACGATGGGCGACGGCTTCGGGTTGAAATGGGCTGGCTTTACCCACAATGTTTGCGAACGAAACGTCTGTCACCTTGTCTGGCGACACGAGAGTCCTGATCAGGCGGTATGTAGACGCTCCAACGGCGTTCAGCAGAATCGCCCTCCGCTGTCCTCGGAGTCGATGTCGTTGGCCGTGAAGTAGTGTTCGAGACGTTCGACATACTCGCCCCAGTCGTCTTGACTCGGGTCGAACGCTGCGACGAACCCGTGGAGGCCTGCGGCGTGCCGTGCTGCTGCGGCTGGAGGAGCGACTATCTCCCCGTCTTCTCGATCCGGCGAAATCGGCATGGTACGTTCGTCCTCGTCGCCAATTTGTAGTGTAGTCGCACACTAGACAGGATTCACCGGTGACACTACCGCTTATCCAATAGCTCGATAGCAAAATATAATCTCTTAGCGAGCTCGATACATACTCTGACTGTGACTCGATGAGTACAACAAAACCTGGCTTATAAGCATGAACATACATACGTAAGATGACGTATGACCTATGACATCATAACCGGACATGCATACAGATACACAGCATTACACAATACACCACAGTAATCATACGTTTGACAACAACATCGAGTTTGATAGGTAATAGTGTGGTATTAGGGATTAATAGGGATGGAATTTTTCGAATAGTATGAGGGCGAAGCCGAATACTATTTTTTTTAATTCCATCCCTATTAATCCCCTAATACCACACCAAACTGCACTATCACATGTTAATAGTATAGTGCTGTGTATAGTGATCAGTGTGTTAATAGATTAGCTATAGTCATGCTCACAAGATCTTTCGCGACACTTGTTTCTGGAGCTGTAACTTATATGAAGTATTTCACATTGATTTCCTAGTCACTGATTTGATTGGTAGATTTTCTGGGGAATTTAAATTTTCGGGGGTATTTCAATTTTCCAAGGGTATACGGTGAAATAGTTAATTCTCTATGGATCAAATGTATTGGCTGTTACATAGTATACTATTAACATTATGATTGTTGTAATGACATGATTCAAAGGGTGATAGTGAAGCCAGTGCTATATCTTCAGCTAAGCATTGTCATTGGACACATGCAGCTTCAGTGTACAATGTACATGAGCATCTATGTACCTACATGTCTAGTGTTGGGTGTGTTTTGTGGTTTGTAACCAGATGTACACGTAATTTAGATGTAACAAAGGTTTTACAGAAAGTGTGTGTGCCCTTTTAATTTGTGAGTGCCTGAAAGGGGGACATAATTATGCCCTCTCTCCATCCTCTATAATGATGAAGTTCTTTTAAAGATTGCTATTGCACCTGCAGTGACTCCGAGAAGGCCAAACAGATCCTGGACGCTGCCCTCCAGGACGGCTCATTCCCATGGGCTTTCTAAAGTCCATGGCAGTAGGAGTGACTCGCTCGGGGAAGACGCTCTCCAAGGATCACGTCTTCAAAATAACGTACGACCCGAACTTCTCCATTAGTACAGGAGTGTGTGAGGCTCCGATCTTGGCCTTTCGACAGCTTACTTTGGAGCTGATCAAAGCTTTGCCTTCTGCAGAGGGGTTCGAACTACTCAAGTACGAGGATATCAATCAATTTCTGGCTTACGTGGTTCGCAAGGGTTTGCTTAAAGGAAGGGTAGCGAAAGTGGTGAAAGAAATGGTGCAGGCTGCTAGCGAAGGCTCCAGTTCATCTGATAGAAGTGAGGGTGTAGCTGCAAGTAGTGTAGGCACTGGTTCAGGTGATAGTGCAGCCTCAACAGCTGTAGTCAGTGCAGTCTGTGCTGCTAGTAAAGCCAGGGCCGAGGCTGAAGCTACGGCTAGGACTAAGCTTGAAATGGTCCCAAAAGAAGAGCCACTGTTTCAAGCTGCAGATAATCCTGTTCCTGGACAGCGGAGGACAGCCTCAATTCACAAGGTCGTTGCAGCCTTCAGTCACAACGTGTCCCTCGTCCTGGTCTTCATCAAGCTCAACGAGCGTCTGGATGCTCTGTGCACCAATGCCTTCACCGACGAGGAAGGAAAGTGGTTTACGGAGCAATGCCCCTCACTGCCTCACCAACGAGCAGATGGTGGTCCAGTTTGTCCACACCATGATGTGCAAGCCCGTGGCCCGGCAGCGAAGCATGCACACCAGGTCATGGTGATCGGCACTCACAGGGATCTGATGTACGAGTGCGACGAAACCCTGGCACAGAAGAACGAGAGGCTGGCCAGCCTGTTTCTACCAGCTCTGGAGGAAAACTGGTCATGAATGGCGACGACATCATCTTTGCCGTCAACGCCAAGAATCCCGACGAGAATGACGACAAATGCTTCGATCTGATCCGCGAGAAAGTGGCAGACTTGAGCGGGACCCTGGATGTGGATACCCCAATAGCGTTCCTCTTGTTGCTGAACGACGTGAACAAGTACGCGGAAGAGCAGAGAAAGAAGGTAGTGAGCATGGAGGAATTCCAGGCCATCGCTGGGAGGCTGAAGATGGAGCGACAGAGTCTGGAGGCTGCCTTGGTTTTCTTCAACAAGATGAGCGTGTGGATGTACGTGCCGTCGGTCCTCCCTGGTGCGGTGTTTGTCGACCCTCAGATGCCACTGGACAGCATAAATCGAATCGTCCAGTACAGCTTCCGGGTGGGGGGTGGTGCGATTGCAGGGCTGACTGCGAGCGAGTGTCGACTGTGGAAGGAAGGGGTGGTGAGCAGCGAGATGCTGAAGGGAGAGAAGTTCCGTGGTTGCTTCGTGAGGGTATGTTTGAGGTAGGCGATGCTCTGAAGCTGTTCGAGAAGCTTTACATGTAGCTCCTCTGAACGAGAGGGAGTTCATAATGCCTGCCATGCTCCAGACGGTGGCAGAGAAGGATATGGAGCGATATGTGCCTGCCCCCAGTGAGAGCGTGTCCCCTCTCTTTCTCCACTTCCACATGTCCCGCATCGCTAATGGTGTGTTCTGCTCCACCCATACCTGCATGCGCTCCAAGTATGGGTGGACCACGGATTACACCATGGTAAAAGTAAGAAAGTTCCTGCTTGTCTCTTCCGCAATGCCGTGCGGTTGCAGCATGCCGACAAAAGCAGTTGAAATACTCTTCTCCACGTTTTGAAGCCATTCAAAGTTCATCTCGACGCATCGCAGGCCGACCTGCCTAGCATCTGTCCAGAAATCCGTGACATGCTCATGGATGCCGTGGATAGTGCAGCGAGTGCTTTCCGCTTCAAGAATTCGCGAGCCTCTGTAGCCTTCCAGTGCCCCTGCAGCCCAGACGACGTGCATACAGCCACTCCAAATGAAGCCACTCCAACCTCATCTGCACACTGACGGGGAAGAACATTCGAGGAGGCCTTACACTGCTCAGAGGTGTGGCTTGGACCACAAACTGCTCCAGGTGAGACTTCGGATTGTGTGTGTGTCTTGTGTAAACTCTGTTGTTTTTATTAACCCTCGGCGCGTATGCGTAGCGAGGGTTACAGTACTTGGTTCGTAAGTGTGTCCGTCTGTATGTCTGTCTGTCTGTCACGCGCAAGAAAACGGCCAAAGAGCGATACTAACTGGTTCAGTGCTACACTGGCTTTGCGATTTTCATAAAACTACTGCGTTCTAAAGTTATGGCGTGAAAACTAAGTGATCAAGCCAATATATGCTAATTAGCACAGGCTTACCTCGACCTGATCCGTTTGCTTTGTGTATCTTGAAGGCACAAGAAGTCACAACGAAGGGTGTGTATCGACTCCCGCATGCTATCTACTGCTGTAGCTAACCCGTGTCAGACTCTCTGCGAGCTACTAGCGGGAGACCACGAGTAAACGCATACTATCGGCCCATCAATTTACTGCGCATGCGCAGTTCGCCGAAGGTTTCCACTTTAGTGCTTTTCATTTTGTCTGTGTCGACACTGGCAATGTATGTATTGGAACTAGTTGCAGTACCACTCTTGGAACTACATTTAGAATTGCTAGCTCGGAACCCCTCCTTTATATTGCGGGCGTTGCTCAACATTTTTGTTGCTCTGTGTTTGTTCGTGGTGCTGGCAATCCCAGTTGGCTTCTTGATATATAGGTGTCTACCACGAACGACGCTTCAGCCACAACGTTGGCGTAGCAAGTAACCCCCCCGCTGCTGGAAAACCTGATGTAGGACCTCCAGTTATTCGAGGAGCAGCCATCATTGCTCGGACAAAGATAGAGGTCCCTCCTGACCAGTCACTGAACTACCACTGGGAAGGTCATGGGTTCAAGGTTCACATACCAGCCGGTGCCATTGTCAGTGGAGAGAGAGGGCCAGTGACGCTGTGTATCCAGGCCAGCCTCAGTGGAGACTATGACTTCCCAGATTATGGTGTCCTCGTCAGTGGAGTGTACTGGCTCTCACTACATCCTTACATGGAAAAATTCAAAAAGAAAGTCACTATCACAATCCAGCATTGTGCCTCTGATGCTGGCTCAGAACTCGCCTTTGTTACTGGAAAGTGTACACAAACAATGCTGCCATACACCTTCACAAGACTATCCTCCCGTCATAGGGACATTGAACACAAAGAGCAATCTTACACTTACACCGCCAAATCACTGTCAGAAGAATCATTTTCCAACTCAAGAGAGGGTACCATTGAAGTCGACCATTTCTCCACGTTTGCAATATTTCGTTTTTTGAGGCTGCGAAAGAACTATGCTTTTTGCACCTACTATATACAGAAACGGTCAAATTGCTATGAAGCACACATCACTGTCACACCAGATCTTGCTCTACAAATGAAGGTAGGCGGGATTGTGAATAAGTTTCTTATTTGACAGAATTTAAATTCATAGGATGTGCGAACAACGTATGAGAGAGAGGAAAAGGGTCCATCTATAAGTGCATCAATCCAAGAAAATGAGGTTTCTCTAAGTTTTAAACCAGACCTTGATTGCTCTGAGGGAACGTGGGAGAAAGATGGCTGGGAACTTAAACTTCTAATAAGGCCACCAAAGGTATTATAAAAGCAAAACCACCCTTGATTACTGCGTTGCTGTGTATGATAATACACTATTTATACTCTTCAGTTGCCAAAAGGCACTCTTGACAGTTATCAACCAGGGCAAGTGATTCCACACTTTGCCATCCAGTTGAGGTTGAAGGACAATTTGAATCCTCGATCATTGTCACAAGAAGTTGAATTTGTTGGAGCCGATTCACCAAACTGCATTGTCCTATCTCGAGACCCCGCATCTCAAGGTTAACAAAAACAATTGGTGCAACTATCTTTAGCAATAAGCATCCAAACCACTTGAGTTAACAAAATGTGCGTTATGTCAATAGAAAACATGCCGCCTAAATGCTAAGTACAATGTGTTTTTAAAGCAAGAGGTAATACCAGCACAACAATAGAAATGTCAATGCTAATTAGCTTTATTTTTCAGCCCAGGCTCCTTTTGAGAGGATGACACCATCTCTGTCTCAGCTCTCAGTACTGTGGACCCAAAGTGGAAGTAGGATCGAGATCATCAGGACAGTTTCCCCACGTTGGAGAGATATCGGTGCTCTTCTCGACTTTGATGAAACTGGCAGAACCCTGAACCAGATAGAGGCGGACAGAGGTCGCGAGGGCGTGGAGTCATGTTGTCAGGCCGTGTTCCAGCACTGGTTGGAAGGAAATGGAGTCCAGCCCGCCACCTGGGCCACACTTCTGCAGATACTGGAAGGTTGTCAGTTTAGAAACCTGGCAACTCAAGTTAGGGATGCCCTAATTCAATAAGACATTTTATACTTAGTGCAGAATTTAAAATTCCTCTTCAGCGTCACTGTCACCTGTCTCTTCATGCATGATATATACCTACCTCCGAGCGAACGATGAGCGCATGCGCACTCGAAGGTACAGTTTAGTGTACGGACGGAGGTGCACGGAGAGAGGCGTAGTCGCTATACGGATGGTTCGTAAACATGAAGAAAGGGCTGATCGAGGCATTCGTACTGGCCGCATCGCTATTTCTGCTCCTACCCCCAGTGGCAGACAGAATAGCGAAGCTACTGATAGCGATATGGCGACTCTACGACTCGTACGTGCGACTGTGGACCCTCGGCAGTGCTACAGTTCTGATTGCGCAGATCTGTCTCTGCGCTATCGTCGGATCCGCATACCTCCCACTTCTGCGTGATCGTCCGAAGAAGCGAGAAGAACGTGAATGCTCCACTCACCACGTGAAAATCACAGGTAAAACAAAATCTATGAAACATAGTAGTATAGTATCTAGCTATTATTTCTCTGCGAACTTGGGCTTCAGCGTTTTTCTAATTCATAATAGCTATAGCTCTATAGGTTACAATGGCAACTGTAAAAAAGTCCTTCATTTCTATAGACTCAAAAGAATTCTCTCAATAATTATATTCACGAGAATGTGATCACCATATATATAGCCCAATATATACTCCCGTACTATTATAGTGAAACTGCATTACAAGGCTGCATGCATTCTTTACCACCTAACCTACTACTAACCTACTATAATGCAGAGACATTCCCAGATCTACGTGCACTAATGCCAGCATTTGAGCAGTACATTGTCATGGAGCGGTTCCTACCAGTTGCCTTCCAATATCGACTCTTGAGCATGGAAGATATGGAGAAGGTTCAAAAGCATGAAGGGAGAGCGTTGCAAGTTACACACTTGATTGATCTACTCGAGAGAAAAGGCCCAGACTGTGTGGCGAGAGCAATAAGCTGTTTTGAAGTGACCAGAGAAGAACTCTTGGGCCATGCGGAGTTGGCAGATATCTTACACAGGGGTACGATATAAAATATGCATGGAATGTGGAATAACTTGCCTTTTTAGCCCTTGACAGGCATAAGGGAGGTAAACATACAGAAACTTTAACTCCAGGATCTACAGACAAACACAATAGAAATTCAGGTTTGAAAAATCACTTTTTTGCTTGTTGGATTATGATCAGGTATTGTTGTTTTTTCACATCAGATGGAGTAGGTCTGGAGAAGGATATTGACGATCTTGCACAGAAACTGAAAACGGATACTGAAACTCTGACTACTCTCACAGAAAAACTCAGACAGACAAGAACTTGTAAAAATACCCAGACGTGATGCATAATAATATGTGTACGTGTATTATCACCATTCTTTACGTGGCAAAAGCGCGAGAGCTCGTTTATAAGTACTGCGCATGCGTGTATTTTTGCAACATTCGTGTGCGTGCGTGCGTGTGCGCGCTATTATAAAAGGCCCTACGGTCGCAGTACAAAAGAAATCCAGGTCCTTTAGCATGGTGAAGTACGTGAAGCGATCGATAGCCATAGGAGCAGTGGCCATTTCCTTCCTCCTCGGATTCCCGGCAACAGAAGTCGCGACGAAGTTGCTTGCGCGACTCTGGACACTGTACGGAGCGTACATCCGCATGTGGCTAGAGCAGCACACGGCGTTCTTCGTCGTTCTGTGTTTCCTCTGCGCCGCAGTGGTGCTGGTCTACGGCATCATACTTCTCCCGTTCCTCCAGCCGAAAAAGCCCTACAAGATAGACGAAGGTGAGCGCCTCGGACGCAGTGTGCACGCACGCAATTCCGCGCAGAAAGCGGGGATGCGACAGCTAAATAGATAGAGAGGGGCTTACCAAAGAGATTGGTACTACAGCTACGGTATTAGCATCTATGCAGCTACGCACAATAGTATATTTAACAGCCCTCCAAATTGACTGCAGGAGCTAGACTTGTAAACCTGTAGTAAAAACGAACGTGTTTTCCCCTCCCAAACAGCTGTTGACGTCATGCTCCCACTTCATTCGCTAAAGAACCACTTCAGAATTATCTGTGAGAGAGTGGACTTTGCCCAGCTGCTGCCGCAGCTCTATCAGGACGAGATCCTGCACTGCGAGGAAGAGATCGATAGAATCCAGAGCGAATCTTCGCAGCGATTGAAGACTATGCGTCTCGTGTTCATAATCGAGAAGAAGGGAAAGGTCGGAGTGAAAGGGATTTATCGAGAGTCTGGAAAGAGAGACGAGTCATCTCGGGCATAAGGACCTGGCCCAAGAACTCAAAAATGGTATGTAGTCTAAATTTTAGGGAGAAAATGTCAAACTGTTAGGCAATTCAGGATCTTAGCTATATATTCCCCCCAAAAGCAACTGCCCCCTCTTTACTGCACTAGGTAATCATTCTAACACGAGTATTAGGCAATAATATAGTGCACGGTAAATGCTGGTTAGACGTTTTGCTAATTCTCTTTTGTGTACACAGAATACCCAGAACTATTCCCAACTCGGACTGAAGGTATGTGCAAACGTAAGCTCTCTCACTTACAGAGAGAAAAACAACTGAACCCCATGTGTAGTGTTGGTTTTAAAAATTTACTATTCAGACTCAGAGAGGACTGAAGTGGAAGAGGGAGAATCGTCATCTTCTGATGCAGTGATCGATACAACACACACAAAGTCCAAACCCAGTGAGTATATATAATTATTTAAATGCTGCAGTTTGCTCAATCAATCTTCCAACCTTTCGATAAGCTAACAAGTCTCGTGTTGGTTCAAAATTTGTTGAAACTTTGTGTGTCTGTGTGCTTGTAGGGAGGTCCCCCATACAAAACCTATATACTTTTTAAGGAAGAACTGGACGTGATGTCATTCTGTGTATGTGTTACTACGGTTACTTTGATGTACACAAAATATGTCAATAATCCGTGTGTTTATTTCCTGTGTTTACCTCACCTTATTACTGGGCTACATTCCTGCTTCTATAAATAGTATATATAAATGTGTTGTGTTACCATTATTTGCAGGGCTGCATTTGGATTCTGTTATGGATGTCACGTACACGTTCAATAACGACAACGACCCCTGCCATCAGAAACTCATCTCCTGGGGTCTTCAAATTTTCCCTTCTCAAACTCTCAACAACACCCTTTACATCGCGGCATGCCTAGTGGGAAATTTCGAGTTTCCCCCGTATTACGAGCTCGTCAGTCCTGTTTTCTACTTCTGGTCAAACGAGCCTATACCGGATTCAATCAAGTTTGATATGCAGCACTCAGTCGATGCGAAAACCCGTAAACAAGCCACCTGTTTGAGTTTTGTCTCTGCGGACGAATCCAACGGACCACCGTTTTGCTTTACTCTCCTCAACAGAGGAGAATTCAACCCGAGTTCTTCATCAGGGGTGATATCTACGAAACCGCAGGGGCTCCTCGCGATCGTGAAGAGGAAACTCGGGCGTCTGACCCTGCGGACTGACCCCCAGATCAAATACAAGGCTCAGGTCTATTACACTTGGGACACGCCCATGGAGTACGAGTGCACCGCCCATTTTGTCGTCACACCGGCCACAAAGGCATGGGATAAGGTACGAAAGATCTATACGGCAGTATAGCTATGCTAATGCTCAAATCACATTGATCATTGTCAACACAACAATGACAGTACCTTAATTAATTGGTGTTGACTCAGCACTCAGCAGTGTGCAAGGTGGTTAATCCAATAAAGTACTGCTGATCGTGCAGGGTTGTTTTTCCGATTTGACAAATCCATGTTAAGTCATGTCTCGGACAAGGACTTCCATATGTAATACTAACTGGGTTTAATAAGGATATTGGTAAACCCGTGTCTATAGGTCCTCGAGGAGCTTTTCAAGGAGGCCATTAAAGGAGACAAGAAAGACGTGTCATTTGTCAAGAGCTCACTCTCAGTTGCCATTCCGGATGAGGGCCTGTTTGTGAAGGGATGGAGCATCACCTGCACTACTTCAAAGATGGTGAAACTTCACAACTAGAGTAAAGTATTGTTCTACATAGTCATACACAACCCCTGCAGATCTTCTTTATGAATGAGCAATGTATTCCACAACCATATGTACTAGTTTGCTAGTTTTATGGTAAAACTTTTCATACAACTAGCAAACTATTGTTCTACATAGTGTTAGCTGAACATACATAACCCCTATATACCACCTTCTCTATCAATGAGTGATGTATTCTCTAATCGAGTTGGACATAATATAGTAATGGATGAACCTCACAATTCTGCTATATACTTTCTCTCCTCTGTCACTATGTCTTTCTACCTCCACCGTCTCCACCTTCTCCACCTCTTTTTCCACCAAGAACAGTTCTTGCATGCAATTTAACCCCTGACTTCACTAATACGGACACTTTCTTCTGTCCCATTGGTGTCCAGATTAGAGGGGTTCCACTCAGGACACCTCGCTAATACGGACACTTTCTTCTGTCCCATTGGTGTCCAGATTAGAGGGGTTCCACTCAGGACACCTCGCTAATACGGACACTTTCTTCTGTCCCATTGGTGTCCGGATTATTAGAGAGGTTCAACTGTAGTTGACAGAATATTTTGTTACACATTGTCAGATCAACTATGAAACCGTTGGGAAGGCAACCGACCAACTCATTATCCCCGAGTGCAAGTTGACCATAAAGTGGGTGGGAGAGGAAAGAAACGAAGAGCTGCTGCCTTCAGACCTACACTGCAATATAAACTTCACTGGCTCGCATCAGAAGAAGAGCGAGAGCTACTTTCATCTGCACTCAAGATGCAGTCAAGGTATAATGTACTACGAAGTAAGGTGGTACAATGACAGAGGTTATCCAGCATCATGCCCATACATTTGAGATTTCACTAACACATTGAATGCTTGCACATAATATCCCATATTAGTCTGCCACTCCTTATTAACAGCATCACATAAGCACTGATTCTCTATATATGCAATTCCCTTGACACCAAAAGTGCCAGATTTTACCAATTTTTACTTCTCTAGCTGGCAAAAATCTTAATGATGCGTATCAAGGTGTTATAAACAACCATACTAGGACAATATTATTAGACATTTGTTGAATCTAGCTCTAATTATGGGCATTTAGCCAGTCACTAGGTAATTATGATGTAATAGAAGGGATTACTATATATAATTGTGAACCATGCTAATGTGTGGTATTAGCAACACAATTCCAGACGTATATTATTTCGTGAGGACCCCATTCATACTTTCCCCTTCATCTTCTCGCGCTCTCTCTCTCTTCCACTATAATTATATTACAGGAAATGAACTAAAGGCTGGCATTTGGTAAAAAGAAGCAACACATCTGAATTTCACCTCTTCCTAAGCTACCATTGAATGTGTACATAATTATCAGATACACGTGTGTGTGTGTGTCTAAAAGACAGTAAAAATTATTTTTACAAAAGCACTAAAATGTATTACTCATCTGAAATCATTCATAATAATTATTATGTGTATAAACCTGTGAGATGTCGCAAACTTACGTACCCACTTCTGTCGCAATTTTGAAAATAAAAAGACCAATTAAAAGAAGGTGCAGTAACACATGAAAATGATGGAAATAGCAGTTTTGCCATTGTAGCCGAACAGTTGGACCTTTTCCTCAAAAAATGGCAGCTGCAACTCTTCATAAGCAGTCAATCTTCGTCACTGTCTTCGGCCTCTTGAAATAGTGGGCTTTGGTTTGAGTCTGCACGTCAGACGAGTCATTGACATGCTACTATTTCAAGACACAGTATGTTATAAATATAGACATCTACATACAGATGGAGGCCTACGAAAATAATCAATGATGTAATAATGATAGCTAACTGACTTACCCCTGTGCCTGATTATAAATAGATTCCATCCTGCTCTAATAATAATCACTCACCCCATATAAGCAGGTGCGATCCAAAACGGATTCTCTTTAGCTGACTGTATATAGAGCAAAAGGTCAAACTAATACAGCATTCTGACCAGAAAAGAAGTTCACATTTATAGGATTGTGCTGTGTAAACTGTTCTTGGGGAAAGAAAAGGTGTCCTTATTAGTGAGGTGTCCTTATTTCAAGGGTGTCCTTAGAGAGGGGTTCCACTGTACTGCGATGTCCCTAGTGTGTCAAGGCATGCAAGAACTGTTCTTGGGTGAAACAAAAGGTGTCCTTATTAGAGACGTGTCATCATTTCAAGGATGTCCTTAGAGACGCGTCCTCATTTCAGGGGTGTCCTTAGAGAGGGGTTCCGCTGTACTCACTCACTTTGTCATATTTGAGAAGAGCTTCTCTGGGATCTTCGTCGAGATCCACATTCTCGACAGCTCGGATTTTCCTCACGTAAGAACCGAGGGAACTACCTGTGCCTATTCTACCTCCAACACCTTTTGGTGGAAAGGGAGAGGAGGGAGGGAGAGGAGGGAGGGAGAGGAGAGGAGGGAGAGGAGGGAGGGAGAGGAGGGAGGGAGGGAGGGAAGGAGAGGAGGGAAGGAGCGGAGGGAGGGAGAGGAGGGAGAGGAGGGAGGGAGAGGAGAAAGGGAGAGAAGGGAGGGAGGGGCGGGAGGGAGAGCAGGGTGAAAAAATGATAGTAGCAGCAGACTGACTTGCACAGAGAGACAGACAGACTACTAACTCTAACCCTCACTGCACATGTGCGTCGAGGGTTAATAAGCCAAGCAAATGGTACTTGAATTTTGCCCCTGCCTGTCACTAAAACAGGTAGAATAGTGCAGACAGACCTTTTCCAGGGGCGGGTGTTTCTGGTTTGTGAGACAGTTTTGGATCGGCTCTCTCCTTCTCTCTCCTTCTCTTCATGCTCTTCGGTTGGTCTTCCCGGAACAGGGGGAGGGCATGTGCTGTCGTGTGTGAGAGAGAGAAACAGAATCTCGCGTGAAAACGTGTTTACTAAATCTCGAAGTTTTATAATAAGAGCCTGTTGCACCGTTTCCCCCGCACAACCCGCGCATACGTAAAAACAAATGCACGTCAATAGTACGTACTAGGCAATTTTTGTCCGTTGAAATAATTATATAATTACGAAGACATGATTTTTTTATTATTACGATTATTCCGTGTTAGAAGCCCTCGGGCCCATGCAGTGCATCACTCTACTCAGAACGTTACAATGTAAGGGCCCTCGGGCTTCTAACATGCATAGATTTCAAGGATTCAATGTCTAACTATTTGTTATCTCACGTGTTATGATAGGGCCGCTAATTTCACTGTGAACCATGTCTTCAATTCTCTGGACTTTCTTCTTTACCACACACAGCTTGGCTCCCCTGGGGTAAGGAAGGGGAAGTTGTCGAGATATCAACAATAGTTGCAGCGAGATTGGGGGAAAGATGTTTTTAGCAAGATATATAGGAGGGGAAAAACAAAGTATGGAGTGAGATATGTGGGAGGACAAGAGGCGTATGGAACAGTTACAGAACCCACAATAATAGATTTAGGAACTAACACGTGAAAAAATTTCTCTCTCTGTTAGGTTGTTACCTGATGCTATATCGAGGACTGAAGAAGACGTGAACCTTTCCGTTGCCAAGGCCAACGACAATCTGGTTCAGCTTTGGATGCCAGTAGCAACGAATCACACTCTTTAGATAACAGAGATAATTAATGTCGGAAAAAGAGGCAAACAAAGAGATGAAAAGACTTTAGATGGAAAAAGATGAAATGCTAGGGAAGAGAGAGAAGGATAAGAGAAATCTAAATTGAGGCGAGAGAGAGAGAGAGAGAGAGAGAGAGAGAAAATGAAAAGAAATGGAAGAAACGGCGAAACAAAAAGAGAGAGAAGACAAAGTAGACGAAAGAGAAGGGAGACAAGTGGAGGAGAGGTGAAGGAACTCACACAGTCTGCCACTGGTAGAGAGTTAACTTTATTCAGTTCTCTGTCAAAGAATACCAGTTCACCTTTTCCCTGAACCACACAGAAGACGAAGAGCACGTGGCATAAATTATGAACTACAAGTGACGATAGAGGGGCAGGCTTGCAAAATCATATTTTACCTGGTCTTTCCTGACTGATGTTCCCGTGACGATAATCTTCTCATCAGGACTAAATGCACAGTCAGTTCTACAAAAAGAAAGACAGAGTTGTGCCACAGTACCTTATATTGTTGTGGGTGTTGCACACTACATATGCAGCTGAGTTGCCCTGGTAGCTCAGTTGGTAGAGCGCTCGCCTAGACTGCAGAGTGTCGTGGGTTTGAATCCCACTCAGGGCAGCTCTTCTTCTTTCTTTGAAAAGAAAGAGCTGTCCTGGGTGTAGTTGATTTGTTTGCCTTGCCTTGCCTTTCTACCTCGTTACCAAGTTGTTGAGACATGCATACTTGGTGATGATTCTATTTGTCTTACACCGAGAAAAAGTTTTGCAATCCAGTTGCAACGTTGACGGGCCTCTTGAACGATCGAATGTCCCAAACTTTCAATGTGTCATCACCTTTGAGGAACAAAAATAGACGCAATTTTCTATGATGAATAGTTATTTTTAGCCCACCTCCCCTGGAGACGAGTGTCTGGTTGTCATGGGACATGGTGATGCAAGACGTCTCGGTGCCTGGAGTATGAGCAGTGTACTGATGTAGAGATGATCTAGTCTAGAGAGGGGGGAGAGAGAGAGAATGAGGAAGAGAAGGGGAGTGAGGGGCGGTAAGGAGAGAGAGGAAGGGGAATTGATCTTCCAGAGGAAGGAAAAGTTGCCGAGCACACCAATTTGTTCACGATCGATCATGCAGGTTTCTTTACCGATTGTATTGTAACTAAGTACTACATGTACATACAGTCAAGATAACAGTGGTTTGCAAAAACCCTTATGGTTGACGGATAATTTGACAGCTCTGCAAAGAAAAGAGCTAAACACGAGATCTCCCAGCCTCACCATCTATCTCCTTCGTGACTTACAAAAGGTCCGCTGCTCTTCCACAGCTGTATGCTACCGTCGACCAGCCCAGCTGCTATCATCTTTCCATCTTTACTGAAGGAGCACGTGGAAATGGCGGACTTTCTCCCCTTCTTGTCCCTCCCCTTGATCACATTCAGCTGCTTCTCCTTTTCATTCACGTCCCAAAGTCTCAGGGTGCTGGTGGGTTGATCACGTGATGGTCACGTGACCTCATTAATTATTCATGAGCTGACCAGTCATTGGAGCAGGTAAGGAAGGTTTCCTTGATCTTTGGGTGCCAGCAGGCACAGTTTATCATGGAAACATGCCCCTGAGAAAAGGCAGATGTGTAAGTAGAACTACCTAGTTACCACAAATACATTTAATGTCATAAATAATGATTCTACAAGGGACGTTAATATGCATTCACTGAACATCACCACTGTACGTAGGCTCCAAATTGTAAAAATTCTGCTACATCTATCTGATGCCCAAATTAATGTCTAAGCTAATCCCCTCCCTCCCTCCACTTAACAAGGAAAAAAACTGTGCATCATTGTTGCAAATAGAAATTGAAGGGTTTTTACGCTGAAACTTTTAAAGGGCCAACATACACATCATACCTACCAACCATCCCACTTGGTAGGTATGCCACAGTGTAGCCGAACGCACCTCTAATGTATAATATAATCATACCCATAAATTAAATTGCATAGTAAAGCTGCACTGTTTATATACTTTCTTTAAAACCTTTGTATTAGTCATGTCAATGATGTACTGCCAGCCCTTAGGACACTGCATCTTATTGTGACCATCTCTGTCCAACACCTTCGCCTAGAAAATCAGGGGGAAAGGGGTTAATTAACGGGGAAACAATTTTAAAGCCCTTTCGTGCCTACTTGTGCACTTCCGGACGCCACAAGAATTGCGTCTCCAGTGATGCTGTACTGAAGTGTACATATCCGATGACTGGAGAGAAAAGGAAATAGAGAGGAAAATGACCACATACAATTATTGGAGAGTTTTAAAATTTTTCGTGAGTTGAATAAATAAAGTTCAATTGTGAAAAATCAAATAGTGTATATATACAATTGTCAGTGAATAATGAGTCACCTCTCACAGGGAGTGATGGAGCGAAATGATTTGAGTCTGGAGTCCATTCCGGCAAAGTCCCAGAGCCGTACCGTGTAGTCATAGCCACCAGATATGACTCTGGCTCCACTCGGGTCCATGCCCAGAGCTGATACCTTGAATATGAGGAGGAAGGAGAGAAAGAGAGAGAGGAATGAAGGGAAAGCTAGAGTACAAGCACGCAAAAATATTTAGCCCCATACTGCCACATTCCCTTTAAAGAACCACTTGTTTCATTCAGTGCCAATACCGTAAGAGGACACCTCTGTGCCAATACCGTGGTTCTAAAGTGAGGACACCTCTGTACAAAGGATACAGTAATTTCCACTGCCCCACTTTGGGTTTAATTGATTCACACAGACACAGAGTTTTTGCCCCTCCTGTTTTCTATACTCATTGTGTCCCTTCTTGGATCGTGTGTCAGTAAAGAAGTTGGTTCTAAATGCTTAGGGGGCTCTGCATTACAAGGACTCTCTCTGTGTGTCATTTGTGTTTAATGTTTAAAGGATATACCAAACTCTAACAAAGAGCTCACTGGTTTATCTCCATGTTCCAGTTTCACTTCATGTGACAAGGAAATGAACGCAAGAAATACTACTAAAACGAGCGAAAACACTTAAAAATTTTCAACAGCTAAATGGGGTGTGGGTACGCTACTACCGAATATCTTCTTCATCGTCCGCCTCACTCATCTCCCTCTCCCGACCGCACTCTCGGGTCGCGACCCACTCCCCCCTGCCCCATAACCCAGGTGGGAGTGCGGACCGATGACGTCATCGTCGTCATCGGATACTAGCTACAAAGACGAAGAGACGAGAAGAAGAAATCCAACGATAACTCTTAGCCCTAAAACCCACCAAAACCAACACCGTCGCACCTCATTCTCCACTGTCTCCACAACTTCTTGACTGTACGCAAATACAAGATCCAAGCCCATAGAAACCGGCTGAATATGCCCACCTTGGGTCATTGAAAGTGTCCATATGAGAGAAGCGTTCTCCTTATTCTGGTTAAAGATTTATTTTGGATGTTTGGGAGCAAGAAGGTTAGGTTATATGGCGATAGTCCCCGCGTACAACAAACCAGTCTCAGATTGCGTCTGGGAGCTGCAGGGTGTCGCTGGTGGAAGAGGTGAGTGAGGTGTCTGGGAGCGTGAGACAGACACTCATGTTCATATGGTGGATGTTCGGTTTGTTAACAGTTCCGCCATTGTTCTGGGTGCATGGTCTATGGCGAGTGCTATATATGGACGACCACCTGAGTATTATATTGTTAATACTTCTGAAGGCTGAGAGAAACACGGTGGGGTAGGACGCTGATATCCTTGTACAGAGGTCGTTTCTCATCCAATATAAACTCTTCCGGGCAACTAGGATTTAAATCAAGATGTTACACGTACTCTGCACGCTCGTGTGTGACTCCTGTGCAGAGCGACGCGTCTCCGCAACATCTTTCCACGTCGAATGCATGGCCGCTTCTTCCCTAACGTG